ATTAATGATTAATCTCAAAGTCTTCTATACACAACAAACCACAATACTCAAAGTACACACAAACAACTGAACATGCACCAACTTTACTTAAGAGCCAATTAAATGAATGCAGCACATAAGCCAATTAAATGCATGAAGCATCAGCTGAAGATCAAGTCAAATCCTACAAAGACTGATGGAAATGAAGAGGCAAAGAAAGATTTCCAAGTAATGATTGTTTAATTTAACACTACCTTATTTTTTTATGACAGAATATGTTTTTCACCAGTGAATGAGTGAACGATTTGACCGTTTCAAGATTTCTTTTTTCATTTTTTTTTTACATTTAAGTAGTCAACTTAAAAATGTAACCACAACATGATTCAAGTAATATTTTCATTATTAACCATTAAAGAAAGTGTAGCACAAAAGAAGTTGTCAACATGGTGTAAGTGTGAAACAGATTCAATTGTTAAATATCTTTGCAAAAAAAGATTCTTAAAATATGAAGGCACATACTGTACAAACTTGTCTTAAACATATATATGTTCACAAACAATATAAGAAAAATGCTAACAAGTCAAGGCATTGCACTGTGCTGCTTTTCCAAACTCGCATCTAGCAATATGTTCTACTTACTGTCCTTCATAGAGCACGTCACACATGAGCGCTTAATAAATTAGCATGTACTTAGCCCACCCATAAAGTCAGAATTCACAACAAAATCTGACATTTTAAAAACCTATTTCTTCGACGCAGTTATCCATTGCATAATAGCACTGTAATTTTTAAGAGCTTGAGAGCCCCTGGCCACTTTATGCTTTCATTGTATTTGAAAAGCGCAGCACGAACATTCTTCAAACTTTCTCCATGGAGTCACAGTGTCACAACAATGGTCTGGAACAACATGAGGGTGAGTAAATGACAGAACATGTGAGTGCTCCAGAGTGGGCACGATTTAGCCTGTAGCAGATTCGGCATGTTGGTGTTCTCATTCGCTCCAAGATCGCGCCGATGCTGCTCCATCACGAGCATAAAATTTGAGTGATAAGTGGAAAACCTGGAGTGGAGCTGGAACGGAGTGCTTACAGAGCACTTTAAGCAGGAGGGGGAACTTCTGGGAAATAATGACAGAATTTTCATTTCTGGGGAAACTAACCCTTTAAGCTCAAGTGATCCTACTGATCTATTTCATGTGCGTGTTATTCTCCAGTTAATTTTCTCAGCACAGATAAGCACTTCAAGCACAGATAACGCTGCCTAACTTTCCATGAGCCTGTGTTATTGTTATACACTGCAGTCTGATCTTACTCTATCTCCAAAGTTCACTGATTTCTGTTGCCTGTTCATAAAGTGTCTCCAGATAGCAGTGAAAAGCAGATAATGGTTGAAAGAGATGATTAGATGCAAAGATGGAAAACATGCTAGGAAGAATAGAAGAAGCAAGAAAAAGCAAAGACAGACTGAAACTGAGGTGTGAGGCACATCAGAAGATCATCTGGCTTTGATTTAATGCTTCCTGAATGGCCTTTCTTCAAAGATCCACTTCATCAAAAGCTTCCCCTCTCTTTCCCTTATAATGTTATTCCTCTTTCTCTCCTGCACTCATCTCGTTGTCCTTGCAATCATTTTTCAACCATAGCATCATCTCTGAAAATACGCCTGCAAACAAACAAGTCACATCAAAACCAAGTAAGAAATGGCTCAAAGCAAGAAATGCCACAGGCAGACAAGCTTTCAGCAGAGAAACCTTTTCAAGTATATTAGACTGCAACTTCAGCACATCCCTCTCTTTTCCTCAGTCTTTCACATGCTGCCGTCTTCATATCTCCTCTCCCAGAGAAGAGACACATCTATTTCAAATTTGCACTTTTGTGGGTACATCTAAAGAAGACTTCAACAACTTTCATTTGTACAGAAAACCCTAAAGGCACAGTTGATCAGATCACATTAGATGTGGCACATTCGCAAAGTGAATTTCGGCACAAAATGTGATGATTTATCATGTAATATTTTCATACTTTCAAGGTGAAGTGTTTCGGTTTTTAGTGTTAAAACACTTTCTCCTATATCCCAGTGTAATTTGCAGAGACAACTATAAAGAAGCCATTCATAGGCTGACTTCTGAAAAGAGTGAACACCGTGAATGTTGGGTTAAGGAGTGATGTGTTTTTTTTTTTTTGCATTTCCATATGATGCTGCCAATTATGGAAGATTGTGAGTTAATTTCTAGTAATTGATACTTTATTTTTTTATTGTATCTTTATTTCTCGCAACTGCATCATTAAATTGACAGTTCATCCATAAATAAAATTTTAACTTCATCGTTTACTCAAGACTTTTTTTTGTTAATCTGTGGAATATAAAAGATATTTTGAGAATTGTCTCAGGGCTTTTTTGTTTAGTCAATGATGATCAAAAGTATTTACCAGCATTCTTTATACTATTTATAAAAGTAAATTATGAAAGGTTTTCATATTTTTTATTAACTATCCGTTTAACTCTTGAATTTGTGACTTTATAGCTCTTAATTGCAACTTTATTTCTTGTAATTGTAACTTCACATCTTGCAACTGTCACTTCATATCTCATACTTAATTTCTTATTTTAAACAGTTACCTTTTTTACTCTTTGTTGGAAACATGCTTCCACAGTTAGTGACATAATTCACACACACACCACTGATACATTTTTTTTTCAGTAACACCAATAATTTTACAGTAACAAAGCACTAATAATGTGCAAACTAGTAATTTGCATACAATTGTAATCTTTACGTTGTTATTACATTAATAGGCAATGCACTAATAGTGAGTTCTTCATTCATTGTCACTACAATTAATAAATTACTATTGTTTAATTAGCTTATATGCAATGAGTTACAGTAAATAATGCTTTTTATCCAATAATTAACAACCCGTTAACTATGACTTACTATAGTCCTCACTTAAGATTAAGTAATAGAAAATACTAAATTGCCATTAGTTAGGTTCTTTTAATCTACTTTTATTAAACATGAATTGCATTAACAGTGAGTGTTTCTAAAATGTTTCCAAATACATTAAGCATAAATGTGTATCAATTGACTTTATAAATAATCATTTCTTTAAACAAAAATCAAACTGGTCTCTGTGCTCATATCTGTAGGTAAAAAAAATACAATTTACAGACTATGACTATAAACTATAAACTAATACTTTTCAAAGTATTCATACGTGCTTTATTATTGCATACTTATGAATTGTTACCCATTTTATTTGTAATGCAAAATTGTATGTAAAAGTATATAAAAGGATTAATCCATTTTTATCAAAGCATTATACTATATGTTCTATAAATATTCAAAAGAGTATTCTGTTCCTCAGAGGAACTTCAGAAGAGTTCCTCAGATATCACAAAGTAACATCAAATAAATGTGAATACATTTGCATGCTATTGTCACTCATTCAGAATGCTTAATGACTAATGGGATAACCTACAGTATGTATATATTTCAACACTCTGCAACATAAAAACAAATCATTTTTGTTTTGAGCAGTGTGCAATGACCGTCAAAGCTCTGGACTCGCTGCATTGCGCGGAGGTGGTTTTCAGCTTTGGCATCGACAGGTCTTTCTCTTTCTCTCCCAAATGCGAAAAACACTGCAACCAGTGCCTCTTCTTAGAAAGACATGCTTGTTGGTGACAATTGCTATGGGCACTACCAACTCACACGTCATTTACAGTTACCATCTCTCCCACGGTTGCTCTTTTGCCTGTTCTGCCACCTCGTGCACCCCCACCCATTTCTCTTCTCCTCATGTCCATTTACTCCCCACTTCATGCACACACACTACATTTGCTCCAACAGTTTTCAGGTCAGTATGATCTGGTGTTCAGACATCTCGTCTATAAAGATAACGAGTGTTAGGAGAGATTCCACTGGTGAAATATTGCAGGCAGAAGAATTCATTCTGGCTAATTGGACGGTGTCTGATCGGCTGATGGAACTATCTCTGCTCTGCCAGTATGGTATGACTAGTGTACAATTTTTTGATGACACAAGAGACTTATTGGGATCTGAAATATAGCCATTTTGGCCACCAAAAACCACTGAGTCAGCCACATAAAAAAATACAAACACAAATACAAACTGATTGAGTACAATTGTACACACATCCAAAAAAGCCTGAATGACAGTAGTCATTAGTGGGCTAATCTTGATCATTTCAAGAGATTCATAACCCTGAAATATGACAGCCGACTGAGAGATTAGGCTATTACGCAAAATGCTTTGGGGCATGTGAGAAACTGGCATGACTGCAATAACAACAACAACAACAACAGTGACTAATAAATTATCTGAGTCACCAAGCCCTTGTTTTACTTTAAATAATATCAACATACTGACAGCAACTTAAAGACGCCCAAATCTTGTTCCACATGGTTGCATACTACACATCAAATATGCTCGGACTGACTGTGGTTGTGTAACCTTAAGCAGTATTTTTGCTTTCGGCTTGGACATGCCAGCCTATTATCATGTATCTTATTTTTTGTCCTTCAGGCCTGATTATTAGTCAACAGTCTTTCAAAGAAGACCCTTCTCTCTGTAATATCTGTATGTGCTTGACTACTGTTGGTTGCGACAGTCTCAGATCTCTATAAAAAGGTGCCGCTGTCAAAGGGCTCGTCTGATACAAAAGAAGTACACATTTTTAGAAGTCAGGGAGCCTCAAAGCCTAAATGTGTTCTCAGTTGACAAAGGTAAACATAAATCACTAAATTTAACACAAAATACGTAAGATAAAACATTTGCGTGAAAACTCCCTTCCAACATTTCAATGTATGGCCTTACATATGACCAAGGAGGTCTACAGTTCCTGGAGAAAGCTATACGTCAGCATTGTCATTCAGACACAATTACCTTTGAATGGAAGTTTTTACAGTATTTAAACAGGTGATAACCAACCAACCTTGCATGTGACGCTCTGGGGCACCATTAAAGCAGCCAATTCCTAAAGGATCGGTTTTACACCTACCTTAACACCACGAACTCTGAACTCGGTGAGCGCTCTGTGCATTTTGGTTGCAGCAGTGGGGAGGTCTTTGCCACTGGCTATGACTTTAACCAGCAGTGAGTCATAGTGAGGGGAGATGATGGCCCCCTGAAACGCAGACGCACTATCCAGACGAATGCCCATACCCTCTCCACTACGAAACACCTGTTGAATGATAGGACAGAAATAGAGATGAAGGTTTAAATCAGGAGAAATACTGCTAGAATGAGGATGAGTGTAAGTATAACAATACAGTTACAGTGCTGACACACAGGGTACAGGGAATGTTTTAGGTTTCACGATGTGCTGTGTTTTGTGTTCTAGTGTTATATTAATCGATAAGAAACATTATTTTAGCTTATGTAATATTTTGATGATCAACATCATGATAATCAGATTCAATCTATTTAATAGATACAATTATTGGCAATGCGTCATATGCTACCGTTCAAAAGTTTGATGTCGGTAGGTTTTTAAGTGTTTTTGAATGTCTCTTTGTGCACCAAGGCTGCAAGGCTGTAAAAACAGCAATACTGTGAAATATCATACAATTAAAAAACTGTTTTCTAATTAAGAAATTAAAAAATGGAATTAATTCCTGTGATGGCAAAGCTGAATTTTCAGCAGCCATTACTCCAGTCCTCAGTGTCACATGATCCTTCAGAAATCATTTTGATATGCTGTTTTGGTTCTAAAGAAACATTTCTTATAATTAAAGTTGAAAACAGTTTTGCTTCTTAATAATTTTGTGGAATTCAGGATTCTTTGATGAGTAGAACATTTAAAAGAACAGCATTTATTTCAAATATAAGTCTCTCTCTATATATATATATATATATATATATATATATACACACACACACACACATTTTAATTGGTTGGTAAAAAAAAGTAAACAAAAATAAATAAATAAAAATATAATTAGTTGATGGAAAAATAAATAACTTGTATGTTTCAAATAAAGCAAAAATGTCTGTAATATTTGCAGTCTATAAAGTAATGTTTTATTTCTAAAAATACCCAAAATAGCTGGAAATTTCTCTTCTTTCACCTCCAGGTAACTGTCACAAACAAGCAAACCTAGTTATAAGTGGGATTTGTTTTCCCACACATTAAAACACTCCTCCAGTATATGACGCATCGGTTACTGTATCTATTAGGTGTGTTTGACTTTGGCTGTGCCTTGTCTTACTGATCAACAAGACTTACAACAGTCGGGGAAGGTGGCAAAAATGGAGCAGTCGAGTCGGACACTTTATGCTTTCCGTATGTGACGCTCATACAGTGTTTGCTTTCTTTATTGAAAGTAGATTAGATTTAATATTTGTCAAATAATTAGATGTGTTCTACATGTAATAACCAGAAAGGCTTTTCAGCAAATAGGTTATGTGCTTCTTAATAGAGTGTTTAATATAATAGTATATTATTTAAATACCAATAAAAAGGGATCTATTTATTTATCATTGTATGTCCATAAACATGATACAATACAACATCAATATTACATGACAAAGGGATTTACTGTTATAAAATCACAAATTTGTGAGCATTAGGGGAAGTGAAAGTGTCAGAATAAACATGGAACGCACGTCATCGTTGTCGTCATTGAGTCGTGAATCGTGAAATAGCTGTGTTGTTATCAGAGCTCGTGCAGCCACTCTAAAGAAACTGCAAAGACTGAGCCAGCCAAATCGCTCTCTCAGGACCCTACTGGTCACAATAGCTCTAAAGCCTAACCTCACACACAGACATAAACCGCTTCAGCTACAATTAAAGCATCACTTTAATAAAGCTTTAATGTTTTAATTTTTCATTTCATGGGTATGTTCTTCAGTGCAGTGCCGTGTGCTGTAGAGCGTTGTGAGTCTCGGCATGCCTGCATTATTTATGCTGCAATCACCCTGCTGTGGCACATATTAGTACAAAATAATCGCATTACGATTATTGCATGGTATAAATGTTTGAAAATGATTAACAGTTGCAAATAAACATTAATTAGAAATGTATAAAAGTAATCAAAAAGTAATCAAAAGTAATCAGTTACATTACTTTAATAAAGTAATTGAAAAAGTTACACTACTATTACATTTTAAATAGGGTAACTTGTAATCTGTAACCTATTACATTTCCAAAGTAACCTTCCCAACACTGACAGCGACCCAGCAGGTTTCACCTCTCTCTTTCTTTGCTCTCCTTCCACCCCTCTACCCGCACAATCCTCCACATCATTAAAATGTTCTGTCATTCATTTTCTGTTGAAACTTTTCTCCTCTCTTTTTCCTCAGAGGATGCCAAATCTAATTTCTAACTGTCTTCTACTGGTTTAATGCCAATTACATCTTCACAAAGCACCAACAGACACACACACTTGTCTGAAAGCACATTTCAAAAACCATTTAATTTCAGAGCTCTTTTAAAAAACACCATTGATCACACTGATTAATACAAATACACAACTGACAAGTTTCATGCCCACAATCATATATGTACGTTAGAATCCCTTTGAGGGTATAAGGGTACTTAAAGTCATGCGCAATTTAAGATCTTTGACATTGACTACAAGACTATTCAGCAAAGGTTTGAAATGGGACTTGCACTATATATTTAGTTGTGGTTGCTAAGGCACATATTAGTACTGCTCATATTTAGAGTCAAAGGCTCTTTCACTACTCAGGAACATTGCATAGCCAATGCATAGTAAGACGCTGGAACGCCATAATATACGTTTCGCATGGACAAGCACCACTCAAATATAAAAATCTGGTTACTGAATATCAGTCTTGATTTTCTTTCTAACCCCAGTAGATACACTTGGTTGAAACGTTAAATGTCTAATTAGCTGTGATTTCTCTTTCAATGCGTTGGCAGAGAAACTCTCTCCCTTTGCACTACCTGCAAGTTCACCAGAGAACGATACTGACACAGTTTTGCCTACATACATACACAATAATTGAAAAGACTGTTCAAGCAACTCCAATTAAAAAATGTAGCCGTAAGCAGTAATCACTGGGACCCATGCAGAATGGAAAAGGGGACAATATTACCACAATAACCATTGTGAAAAAATAGATACTGTGGGTGTTGTGAATACAGGTGCTGTGGGGTTAAATGCCAATTTCCTTGATCACAGTTGTAAAGTTTTGTGGATTTTTTTTAACTATAGTGTTCTCTATCCCTGGAAATATATACTTTTTAAATGCTATTTGGTAATAAGAAACAGTTAGATTTGTCAGATGTCAGATTTTATTACTGATTTAAAATATGTTATTTAAATGCGAGCTTGGCAAGTGGTTTTTGAGACCTAGGTAGTTACTCATTTAAGTAGAGGAAAAAGCTGAGACATTGCAAATACAGCCGCTGAGTGAACCGACTTTGCTGGAAAGGGACATTTTTTTTGTAGCGCAATTCCTGAGCTGAGCAAATACATTTCCTTTAAATAGCATCATCTAAAATTGGAAGGATGTGTAAGCAGCGATGGTCAAGTTTGGAGGCTTTGACTTCTGGTCTCTGAGGCTCAAACTGTTTTAAAGCAGAAAAATAATGACGAACATCAGAACAAACACATCAGGGGTCCAACAGCACCACTGCATGAACCTCTAAAAAGGATGAAACTTCGAGAAGATAAAAACATACAAAAAGTAAAAAAAAAACAACAACAACAACAACAAAAATGAATGGATCACAATTACATCTGGCATTTAACTGCATGTGTGTTGACAAGCTAATAGTCAAAAATGGTGCTAATGGAGGGAGGCAGGATCTTTGAAAAAATATTACATACAGTATACTCCCTTTTGCTCCTTCAATTAGGGTCACATGCATAATAAAGAGGCTCTTAACTGACTCTAATGGTGCTGGCTAATGATTCACTTAAGCACTCCTGTTCTCTCTTTCCTTCAGAATATACTGTGCACCACAGGGGACCGTGAAAGACCGCCATCACAAATTATTCCAATATAACAATAAGAAACTGAGAAGGAAAGAAAAAGAGAAAGAGAATAATTAGAGAGGCATTACTGCTCTATTTGTTGTATGGGTTCAAATACCATGTAATACATGCTGTGTTTGCCAGAAAATGCTACTTGCAAGTGGTTCTTGAACAGAGGGGAAAATTGCCTTGATCTTCAATTGCATCATCAATACATTAATCTCTTTCAGTCGTTCAATTGCATTCAAGATGGAAACGAGTACTGTTAAATAGATACATTACATTGAAGTTGCTCTCTAGCTTGCACAGACAGGTGAAAAAGTTGAATGCTGAAGAGATATGACAAAATTAGGATGCAAACCTGCACATGCACACTTTGGAAGCAATTGGAAAATAGGCGGTGTAATTTACATGGTCATGCAGATGGGAACCTCAGGGATCTAATCATGCATGTCTGAAGCCTCTCAGCCTGTGGGAACTAATTCTGCAATCATATGTGTTATATATCTGCGAGCATGGGCATGAGACGATGTGTGTGAACTCGCTCAAGCTTCAGCAGATCCTAAATACTACAGCTGAATAACAACTGTGTACTAGTGCACTAAATAAAATTGTAGAATTTGTCGCTTTGGTATTGAATGCAGTTATATGAAAACATGTTTTTAGAATGCAAAATCAGCTAAATGGAGGTGAATAAATGTGTTTAGAGACAAATAACATGAAAAGTTATCTAAATGTATTGAATTTGGCATGAAATGGAAGTACACCACCCTATCTATTTTCTACATACTTGTTATTGATCTTATTGTGAATGATTTATACACCTTTATTTATTTATCTATTTATTTATTTGGTCCCACTTTATATTAAGTGGCCTGAACTAATATGTACTAACATAAAAAAATAAATGCAATATTCTTGTGTTCATACTGTATTGCAAAACACTTCTGCTGCCTTTGAGGTGGGATACTATGGAGTTATTTTACTGTCAAATGTCGAGAGCTCATTATTGTAGCGCGAAAGCACATAAATGTAATGCACGAGCGTGGATCTCTCTGCTCGGACGCAGATTTCCTTTGCTCTCGCACAAAACCGGACTTAAAACGTGTCTCTCCTCTAGCTCAAAGTGTGCGCACTCAAACTGTGTCCTGTGCACTCGCAAATCTCTCTATGCTCATTCAGATATTAATTATTTTCACACCTGAATTAAATGTTGTCAAAAGTTATTATGCACTTT